TATTTTGTGGGCCCAGGGCTTGGGCCAGGTCCTCTCGTGCTACACCCCCAGCCTGTTGTATTGTTTTTTGGAGACTGTTCCACTGAGTTGCCCAGGCAGGCCTCGTGGAACTTGTGATCCTCCTGCCTCATCCTCCTGAATAGTTGGGATTACAGACGTTCCTAACCAGGCCAGGCTGTTCTTTTAAAATCTAAAATGATGTTAAGACTTTCTTTTGTCCTCCATTCACTGTTCTTTCTAACCGGCCTTGACCTTGTTCCAGCGTCATCCCTGTTTAATGATTCCAAACACTAGTTGTTCCTCCCCGTTCATACAAGTGCGAGTGAACCACGGGCCCCTTACTAAAAGGTTCCAGTTGAGGTGTACCAGTAGGAAGGAGAGAAGGCGTTTTGAAATTGTGATAACCCTTAAAACATGAAGAAATATTCCTAAGTTGGAGGTTCTCAAAGTGTTGCCCAGGGCCAGACGCATCAGTGTCACCTGGCAACTTGTTGGAAATACAAATTATGGGGTTTCAACCCAGACTTTAAAGAATCAAAAACTGTGGGTGGAAACCAGTTGTGTTTTAACGAGCTCTCTCCGTGGCTCCTACAGTGTGATAACAGCTGTCTTGAGTAAATGTTTCTGTTGGAGTTGATTCAAAGAGATTATCTTAATTGGAAATCTCTGTGGAGTTTGGCGTAGATGAGAATTAGGATTCCCAAGAGATAAGAGGTCAGCTGAACGCTGTGGAACAGAAGTTGTGTTGAACTGAAGCCCACAGTGCTGCAAAAGGAAAGGACTGTCACCCAGACTGAGAAAGTTCACTGGGTACCTGTCTCACGCTTTGCAGAGTACAAGTGCTGCAGGTTGATTGGCTGGAGGAATAGCCATTCCTAGGGTAGGAAGAACAAAAGGGCTGAACTTGAAATCTGTTAGTGTGAACAGGAGAGGAGGCCAGAGGTTACTTTGACAATGTCAATAAGCAACGTATGTTTGAATTTACATTATACTTTCCTGTAAATTAAAATATAATTTACATTATACATTTTTTGTTCATAATATTTCAACCCCAGTCAACTTCATCTTCACCCTGCCCTGCCCTGTATCTATCCGACTTAGCACAGATCATTTCCCTGAAACTTCTAAAGGTACCTTATTCATGCACAAGGCCTTGGGTTCACCTGTAGCACTGCTAAATAAATAAAGAGGATTGTTATACCGTTTATGTGCATTTATGTTTTATATAATGCTTTGGATTCTAACATGCACTAAGCTTTTTGGTATTGTCTGTATCATATCATTTACCCTCATTGTAAAACATGGTTATGTTGTTGGGTTTTGTATGCTTGTCCTTTTTGTTTTTCTTGTTTAATGGTACTGGGGATTGCACCCAGGGCCTTCACACTGAGCTACATCCCCAGATTTTTTTTTTTTTTTTTTAAAGCAGTTTCTTACTAAATTACTGTGTTCCCCAGGCTGGGCTGGAATTCAAGATCCCCCGCCTCAACCTCCCAGAGCTCTGGGATTATAGACATATTCCACCAAGCTTGGCTGTATATTGTCCTTTACCACATTGGAATATCCTACTTTGTCAAATAAGTGAGTGGGTAACCTATCCTAAGTGATTGTAGTTCAGCTTGTATATAAATTTTATTTTGAATTAAAAAACTTTGTTTAATGTTATTTTTGTGATGTTGGGAATGGAACCCAAGGCACTGCATGTGCTAGGCAAACGCTCTCCCAACCGACCTCTGTCCCTGGCCCCCAGCTCAGGTGCTGCACTTTGTTTTTGGTCCTGGCCTCCCTCAGCAGACACACTCTGGCAGGAGGTGGGGCAGCTCCTGCAGTGCAGCTCACAGTTGCTGGTTAAAAGAGGAGGCAGCTCATCCCAACATTCTGTGTTCCATTCCCAAGGATAAATTCCTACTCAGAGGGCCTGTTTTCTCAGGCACACATTTTTCTGTACCGCCTGCCTGTCATTTGTGAATATGGGAAATGGATTTTCAGTTTTTTCAGGATGCTAAGAGTGAATATTGCATGCCTTCCTCATTTTTTCCCTGCCACAAGTCCCCTTAGCTTCAGCATAGGGGAGTAGGATCAGTAACACATCCGGAAAGCTGTCTTCCTTTAAATCATCCTCCACTTGATCTCATTGGGGAGATAGAGGTACTGTCACCGCCAAGTTTGGAAACCACTTTCCATGTAGCTGTGTGTATCTTTTTCTTTCCATGTAGCTGTGTATCTTTTTCTCCTTCCTGTCCTGGTGCTGAGCCCAGGGCTCACCACATGCTCAGCAAGTGCTGTCCCACTGAGCTGTACCTCCTCCAGCCCATCTTGCTTATTGCCCTTTGAGTCTTTCTGTATGAATCATGTGTTTATTGAGTTATGTGGTACGCACAAAGTCACATGCTGGTGGAGTGGGCTGCAGAGAGGTGAGTGATGTCTTTGAGGTCATCGGTTCTCAGAGGTAGAGCCTGAGGCCAGGTGCAGGGACCTGTAAGCAAGGGGAGTCACTGGGACCCCGAGGCTGTGACCCCCGAGCTGGGCGGGGGAGAACTGCCACAGAGCAGAGAGAGGAGTGAGCTCAGGAAAGACCCTCCGTCTGGCCTGCTGGGAGACTAGGAAGGTCATTGTGGTGGGAGCAGCGAGTCAGAAAATGGAAAAGCAGCAGGACTTCGCTCTGTTCGAGTTCTATAGCATGCAGAGCTTCACGAAGCAAGAAAACTTTATTTTCAGAAAACATCACAGATGCAAAGTAAATATCCTCAAGAAAGCACTGAGAAATGAGTCGTCTTAGTTTGTTAGAAACTTGGAGCCCAAAGAAGGACAAAGCCACTGGGTGATATTTGTGAGGAAAGTTGTATGAGAATATATTTAAATTTACCCCGGAATGTTTTAGCTGCCAAGTTAACATAGATTGAATCCAAGTTGGCAGAGGACAGTCTTGGAAGTTTTGAAAATGGCATGCAAAATGTGTATAATGCCAACAATAAAATTAAATAACTACTTTCAAATAAGTAGCTTAATTTTAATGTAGAGCTTTTTTTTTTTTGTACTGGGGATTGAACTTGGAACCTTGTGCTTAGGCAGGGGAACCACTGAGCTAAATCCCCAGCCCTTTTTCTTTGGTATTTATGTATAGTACGATTTTAAAAAAGTTTTATTTTCATTTACTGAAAGATCTTTCAGTAAAAACTTATAAACTTGAGTTGTTTTGTGTATGTGGAATTTGTAGAAAACTTGGCTGAATGTATATTAATTTTTCTCATGTAAACTGCTGTTAAAACAAATCTGTTTTGTTTTTCTTTTTTTTTTGGTACCAGGGATTGAACTCGGATCCTTGTGCTTGCAAGGCAGGCCACTGAACTACTGAGCTAAATCCCTGGCCCAAAACAAATCTGTTTTTAAAAATACCTATTTTTAAGTTCTGGTGGTTTCAATTATGGGTAAAGAATTTACCTTGAGTAAATTTGAGATTCTGAAGATTGTGGCTTAAAGGACGAATAACTACAAGATAATTGAAAAATTTTTGTTTTGTTTTGTTTTTGTTTTTGTTTTTTTGAGACAGGGTCTCACTATGTAGTTGAGACTGACCTGGAACTCACTATGTAGCCCAGGCTGGTCTTGAATTCAGCGATCCTCCGGCCTCAGGCTCCCTAGTGCAGGGGTTACAGGTGTGCGCCACCACGCCTGGCAGTAATTGAAAATTTTATTGAAGGATATGGAAAGACTTGGAAAGCAGTGTTCTTAGGTGGAAAGGATCAATACTTTGAAGATGTCAGTTTTCTCCAAATTAATTTTTTAGTGTTTAATGTTTACACAAGCATTTACCTTAACAAATGCTACTAGAAATAAATTACTAGAAAGTGATTAAAAGAATGAGTGGTGTGCACAAGCCTAGTTATGCGTTGAAGGTGATGGTACTTGAGGTCCGGGCGCTGTCCAGGAAAAGTAAGCTGACCAGACCCCTCTGGGACATGGCCTGCTCTGTTTTCAGAGTTCACGAGCAGCCTGTTTTAGGACTGTCCTGGGCAAGGCCATGTGTAGGCTCTGGGATTGTGGCAGGGCTGCAGAGTAGCCCAGGTACTAGACCTCTGTATGGTACATGGTTTGAAGGGACAGACTGTTCTGTTTTTGTTCTTTGTTCTTTGTTGGTGAGGTCATTGGTCGTGATGGCCAAACTCAGGAGCAGATCAAAGTGGAACCTGCTTGTGGGATGAGATGACAAGCAGAAGGGTGGAGGCGAAGCTCCCTCAGCACTGTCTCTTCCAGCCGCGTTGGGTTTGAAAGATGCTGCAGTAGCAGAGGGCAGCTGTGCACATGGCTTTGGCCCTGTCTTGTGAGTCACAGTGCTCCAGTCTGGATCGGCTCCCCTGTTGCGGGCGCACTGTTTAACTTCGCTCGTCTCTTCCACTGTGTTGGAGCGCCTGCATTCAGTAGATGATGTCTTCTATTTTTTGTTTTAGTGCCATGAACAGATTCGAAGCACAGATAATCTGGGAAGAAACACTTTGATGAATAGGTCAAATAAAAGGCTGAGATTTAAAATTTATAAGCAGCTCTTTGAATTGAGAATCAGCCAAATATCCCATTTGCAGTGGGATAAAGGGAATAAGGAATTTGTAGAAGAAACAGCCAACAAAAAGGAAACAACAGACTTACAAAAACATGACAAAACACTTCCCCAGCAAGAAAATCAGCAGCCTCCTTAGTAGTAGAGGAACTGTAATTTAAAAGGCTTTAAAGTTCCCCAGGAAGGCTACTGCTGTACCTATATTAGATAGATGGACACTCGCATTCTACTCTTGGGGGAGTAAATTGGCACACTTTCTGGAGAGTGTTCTGGCAAACTTGAGTATAAAAGGGGATTATTTTGACCTGAAGTATTTTAGTAATCCTCATTTATCCTTGGAGAAGTTGTCACTCATAAAAAATTTCCCTTTGATTAGTAACGTGCCAGTAGCTTATTCATTGATATTGCCTCCTTTTATAAAAAAAACATTTGTTTGTAATTTCAGTCCTACAAGATTATCAATTTTGCCCCCAGTTTACTTCGGATTATAGTCTCTGACCATGTGGAATTCCCCGTACGCCAGGCAGGTGAGTTGATTTTTGTTTTTAATCCTTTATGAATAGTTTTATAGGTAAAAGTCGAATTCTAAGAGTTCTAATTCTAAATATCTATCGTTTTTTGAAAAATTAAGCACCCATTAAGTATTTCTAAGGCATTAAAAACTCACTCACTTTTACCGTGGAAATTTAGAGGTTGATCCTGAGCTCTCAGATCTTTCCTGGCCACCCCGTGGCCTGCTCCCACCCACCAGTTCCTTCCATCTGTAGCATTGCCCTTTCCTCCTTTAGCTCTCCTAATTTAATAGCCTGTCTCCCTAGTGTCTTATGATTTCCCTAAAGCCTCACTTTTGGGCTTATGTATTAAGCCTGTGGATTTTACGTATGTGTAGGGTGTCAGTTCTTTACCTGCATGGTCTCGGGGCTGACCGGCACCTGTGCATACAGCCGCTGCGCCACATCACAATGGAGAATTTTACCTCACATCGTAAGTCCCGGAAAAGAGCAGAATTCAAAACTTCAAGTATGGTTTCTACTGAGTGCATATTGCTTTTGTGTGGTTGTAAAGTAAAAATATAAGTTAAACTGTGGCGAGCCACATTATTCGTTAGGTGAAGAATATAGAGCAATATAGAATACAAAGAAGAAAGTGTTGCTCAGAAGTGACCATCATTGACATTGGGTGAACATTATTCTTGATGTATTCAGGTGGAAGGCAGTTTTATAAATGAGATCATAATCTGCCTGCTGATAAAAAAGTATTTAATTTCATTTGAACATAGACATAAATAAAAGAATTACTAAGGTTTGGGAAATGTTTATAAAAATATACAGTGTCACTTAACAGGGACATGTTCTGAGAAACACCTTGATAGTGATTGTGTAAACATCAGTGTCAGGACCCAAACCCACAAAGATAGTAAGTATGTTAAAGCCTGCTGCACATCTGGGCTACACAGTGTAGGCTTTGGTTGTGCAACCTGCGGTTTATGGAAATGTCATTATATGGCCCATCACTGTATATGATTTCCTGAAAGATTCCTTCGTGCGTAAGATAAAAAAAGAAAAATGATGGGGAAAAAATTCATGCTGTAATTGTCATTTACTCGAATAAGGTATATAAGTCTTCTGTGTAAATTTTTTGCAACTGTCTCAGTTGTTTAATCTTTGTTACAGAGTAGGGCAATTCTGAAACTACATTTTGCTAAATGGAATTATTTCAATAATCAATTTATAGTGTCATTGTGAACTTTTTCTGAAGCTTTTTAAAAATAACATTTTAAAAGATCTTACTTTATTAATGTCTTGTTTATATGACATATAAACATTATAGAAACCCAGATTATATCTTAAATTGCTCTTCGTAGTCTCTTAGCTGCTGTCAAATTTAGTTTATAGCCAGTTGTTTTCTGTTTATATTATACATAAATAGAACTCCTTGGGGGTTATTCCATATCACTGCATATGCGTTTGAGGTGCAGTAAAAATGCATGATGAATGTTTAAATTAAAATGTTACAACAAAAGATACATCACCGTCATTCTCCCTCAAAGCAGACTCCCTCCCTTCAGACACGCTTATCCCAGCTTTCTTCCACTCTTTGAAATAGTTCTGGAAGTCCTCTTTCATGCCAGTCTCCATGAGCTGTGATCAGAAATGTTGTGAGTGCTGCGGCTGAGTGCCATCCAACAGAAAGACAGGGCCGTAGAAATGACAGAGCCCTCATCTGCCTCATCCACCAGATCTGGTTCTTCCTCCAGGTCAAATGATAAGGAAACATAAGGGCTTTGAATTGATTTGGGGCATTGAGGCAGGCATAGTGTGACCAAAAACATTTGTGAAAGGAAACTTCCACTCCTGCTTCCAGACATGGGATTAAGAAAAACAGAAACAAAGTGATGGGGTGATCTGTTTGAAGCAAGTGGGGAGGTGTTTGAGGGAAATGTTTGGCAATGTGTCTTTTACTGTCATATATTTAAAAAATTTATGCATTCATCATATTTTTCAGTAGCATCTTGTATACCTCTTTATCATAGCTACTCAGTATTTATTGTATAGAACTACCACGCTTTGCTTGTTTATTTAAAAATATTTATTAGTAAATTTTGAGTTTGGGTCTTACCTGCTGTCATGCCTCTTCTTGGTGGACTTTTCTATAGAAAAGATTTCCTGTGCTCTGTCCTACTTTCCTTAATGTATAGAATATTTATGGACACTGTATCATTTCCTTTTTAAGTTTTATTAGTACATATTTTCAATACTAATGATTGTGTTCATCTTGGGGAGCTCAGATTATGTACGTAACACATTCATTTTTTACATCCTCTTCCCTCCCTCACTCTCCCCTCCCTCCATCTCTTGGTCCCCTTCCCATTTGCAAAAGATCTGTCTCCCTATTTCCTATTATTTATCTTTTATCTTGCTCTTTAACTTACTTATATATGGGGTTTCCTTTATAACAGAAACCAAACAAGATATAAGCTGGTGCGTTTGATTTACTTCATTTAACATTATGGTCTTGATACCACTGCATCCATTTTCCTACACATGTCTCAAAGCCACCTTTCTTTATGGCAGGGTAGTACTCCATTGTGTGTAAATACCACGTTATCCTTACCCGTTCATCTGCTGATGGACATAGAGGCTGCTTCCAAAATTTAGCTGTTATGAATCACGGTGCTATAAATATGGGTATATGTGTGTCATGTTAATATAATGTCTTTAAGTCTGTTGGGAGAATACCTAGAAGAGGAACACCTGAAGAGAACGGAATTTCTATTTCTAGTTCTTTGAGGAATCTCCATACTGATCTTTGTAGTGGCTGTGTTCATTTACACTCCTGCCAACAATGTGGAAGAGCTCCTTTGTCCCTGCAACCTCTCCAGCATTTATTTTATTTCTTTTAAAATTTATTTATTTTTTATTTTAATAAATGTTATTTTATCCCATCCCCCCATCCCTTCCCTGTCTATGTACAAAAGCTTTGTTTCCATTTGTTCCTTCTATTTTCACATCCCTGCCTTCCTTTCTCCCTCCCTCCTCCTTTGTTCCCCTTCCCATTTGGACATTTTCTTCCCATTTCCCATTTTCCAATATCTGTTATATGTTTTAGCCTTATTTCCACTTTTGGTTTCTCACACCAGAGAAACAATGTGGTATTTAAATAGGTGTGTTGACTTTATCTCACTTAGGAGTATAGTATCAAGGTCCATCCATTTAGCTAGAAATGCCTGAAGCTCATCCTTCTTTATGACAGAGTAATACTCCATTGTATTTAAAAACCACATCTTCTTTATCCATTCATCAGATCATGGGTATTTGGACTCTTTACAAGATTTAGCTATTACAAGTTGCCACTATAAACATGGGTGTGCATATATTGCTCTGGTATGATGCTTTTATTTTGGGACGATACCAAGAAAAGGAATAGCTTGGTCAAATGGAAACACTAGTTTTAGTTTTTTGAGAAATCTTCACACTGATTTCCATAGTGGTTGCACCAGAGGAAAGGGTTCCAGAGCCCCTCCAGCATTTTTTATTGATTTCTTGATAGCAGCCATTCTTTTTGGAGTGAGATGGGATCTCAGTGTTGTTTTAATTAGCATTTCATGAATGACCAGTGATGTTGAATATTTTTTCATATATTTATGTGCCATTTCATGAATGACCAGTGATGTTGAATATTTTTTCATATATTTATGTGCCATTTCATGAATGACCAGTGATGTTGAATATTTTTTCATATATTTATGTGCCATTTGTACTTCATCTGGGAAGTGTCTTTTCATTTCTGGTGTCCATTTTTGGATTCGGTCTTTAAATTTGGGATGTCTAATTTTTTTTGAGTTCCTTATATATTCTAGATAACAGCTGGGGATTTAGCTCAGTAGTGCTGTGCTTGACTGGCAAGCACAAGGTCCTGAGTTTGATTCCCCATACCGAGGGGTGGGGGATAGGGCCAGGGATGTAGCTCAGTGGTGCCACGTCTGCCTGGCAATTGCAAGGTCTTGAGTTTGATCCCTGGCACAGGGAGAGGGAGACGCAAAAAACTAGATAATAGTTCTTTACTGGATGAATAGCTGGTAAAAAATTTTTCACATGCTGTGGGTTGTCTCTTCACTCTGTTGGTAGTTTCCCTTGCTGTGCAAAAGCTTTTTAATGAGATGAGGTCCCAGTTGTTGGTTCTTTGTAGTACTTCCTGTGTGGTCTGGGGTTTGGTCATGATGTCTTTGCCTACTTCTGTGTCCTCAAGCATTCTACCTATTCTCTTTCCCAGCAGATTTAGTATTTCTGTTTTAATATTTTGATCTTTGATGCATTTCGATTTTAGGTCAGTGTGTGGTGAAAGATATGGGTCTAGGTTCAATCTCCACCATATGGAAAGCCAGTTTTTCCAGCACCATTTATTAAAGAGGCTTCCTGCCTGCCTTTCTTCCTTCCTTCTTTCCTTCCTTTCTCCTTCTTTCCTTCCTTCCTTCCTTTCTGTAGCGACGATTGAACTCGGGACCTTGAGCTTGTGAAGCAGGTGGAGGCACCATTGACAAAGAGGCTGTGTATGTCTGGAGTTGTTTGTGCATCTTTTAGTCTGTTCCACTGATCCTCAGGTTTGTTCTTTTGCCAATACCATGCTGTTTTGATCACAGTGGCTTTATAGTAAAATTTAAAATCAGAGATTGTGATACTCTCTGCCTTGTCTTTGTTGCCCAGAATTGCCTTTGCTGTGTTAGGTATCTTCTGGTTCCAAATGAATTTTGGGATTGTTTTTTATAATTTTGTGAGATATGCTCTTGGAATTTTGATTGGGATTGCATTAAATCTGTACAACAGTTTTGGAAGTATGGCCATTTTCACTATATTGGTTCTTCTTATCCAAGACAAGAGATATCTTTTCATTTTCTAATATCCCCTTCTATCTTCTTTTTCAGAGTACTGTAGTTTTCAATGTAGAGGTTTTTTTACTTCCTTCATTAGATAGATTCCTAGATATTTCATTTTTTGGGATGCTATTGTGAAAAAGATTGTTTCTCAAA